GCTAACTCGCGGTGTAATACAGCAATCCTGCAGTTTCTCTGTCTGTAGCATTCCACAAATTAAAAAGCCACTGCGTATGCACATTCGAAGTTCTATTTATTAGCATATATGCAACGTAAGCAATGTACTGTCGAACCGAAAAAACAACACTGAAACAGTTAGCTTTACTGCCAAAATTCAAGCCAGGATACGTTGCTTAACTTTCGTGTGCTCAGTATAATGTTTGAGCCAGCTGTCCCTTTCCTTCCAATATAACATTATATTCGTATTGCACGGTCTATTAAAAAAGTAGGAAAAGTTCCGCTTCAACCTCATATTCAATCAGTTCCTTCTCACCCTTCATATACTCTCATCCGGATTCCGTTACGTCTTCAGCGGTAGTCTGAATACTCAAATATCATACCAGTACATTCAGCAACCTTTAATGTGCTGATAAGAAATAATTGAATTTTTGATTATTTGCTTCATGAACTGAAGCAGGAACTCGTAAAGTAGCCTGGAGCGCCCAATGAAAGACTGAGCTGGAGACCCCATCTCTGCATGTTATTTTCAGTGTCATTAGACAATAGCGTAACATTGTGTCGCTGTCTATCGAGTCTAGATTAGCTCATATAATTGGGTTGAGGTTGGTTCAATAAATTTCTTGTCGATAGCAGCAGTTGAGCATCCTAAATCAAACCAAAGATGAAATGAACATTGTTTTATTTAACAATCTACGCTTCAGCAGTCATTCTGCATGTTTTGACACAGTCATAAGACAAGCAGCCTATTAATGACAGCTCAGAATCATTGACCCAAATCTCAGAAAAAAAAAGATTGTCTATACAGGTAAGTACACGGGTTTTTTTCCCGCATTTTCTGATAGGGTAGCATGATTGATGAGGTCGGGTTGAATAAACCTTATCGAAGCAGAGGGGTCAAATTTAGCAATGACATCATCGTTAAGTTAGGGCACTATCGTAATCTTCAGACGTCGGTAAGTTCAATGGTTATCATGTAGTGGAGACGCTGTATAGTTCTGTTACCTTGACGGATAAAACTGTCTTTTCAGGGACCCGACGAGTGAGCAAATCGTGAACAAATCGTCCGGCGAACAAAATTGTCACCGTTGTCCCCCATCTGACGTCATAGAGTCATCTTCCCCGTGTACGCTTGTTTTAAAATAACTTGTGAGCATGGTCGCTTCATCTTTCCTAGATAAAGGAAGGAAAGATCGAAGCGACTCTGCTCCCAAGGTAGTCTATAAGTGGCGCGGGCTAACTTTGCTGGTGGTATTCAATGCCAGCGGGTTTTTTCTTGACTCTGTTACCTGGGTTTGGTAACAAAATTTGCTCAAAACTCGAGAGGAAACCGACTTCCATTGAGTTCTGATCTCAGACTTTCAACTTCCGACTTCTGAAGTCGAATCGTGTGTTCGATCAATAAAGGCACTCAATATTCTTTTGAACGGTTCATATTTGGACCCTCTCTACGAAAGGAACTAGAGATGGAGAAAAAATTTGCTTATGACCGAAGAGGTAATTGTCTGTAGTAGTTTATAGGAAGCCAATTTTGAGAACATTTATAGAATCTTTTTGAACTGTGAGGACGATTTTGAGATATTGGCTTTCCTGATTTGCATTGATTCAAGGCACGGTGTCTTCAACTTTTGCCTTTATCTTAGAAACCAAAACCGAGAATTATCAACAATTTTGCAGAGGCCATGTTTTACTGGCCAGGATGAAGAGCATTGCCATAGTATAGAAAGTTTTTTTCTCTGGCCTTACAGGTGCTGTAGCCACCTGTTTTTTCAAATTATACCATGTATAACTATGAAGTGAGCAAGATAGAAGGGTGACAAACCGTGATTTTGGAGTCAGCCGGAAAAGGAAACCGTGTGTTCTTTTGAAGGCGCGTGGATTATAAGCACAACAACTTTATTAAGAGGAGATTTATATATTTCAATATGGATGCTATTATGAAATGTTTGCCTTCACCAGCACGAGCACAAAAACTCGCAGCCGCGGGAGCGTAGGAAACCTACAGCAGGTTTTAAATATTTACGATGCCAGTCAGGATCTATGAAAATGATGTTATACTCTGTTTTCCAATAATATTAATTCTGAATTTTGCCAAATTTTATGAATATGTCAAGAATATATACCTACAGATATCTATATTCTATTACATATGTCTTACTATTTGTAGAAGTTCACTTTTTTATTTTTCTATTTTAAGATGCAAGGGGCACAATTTATGATGATGTCATAGAATTTCCTGGTAAGAATGCAGTATGGATTATTTATTGATTTGTTTTCCATTTATAGCTTCAAAGTGCTGATGCTGCATTTAATGTTAAGGAACATCTCATAGAATTTAATATCATGAGATTTTATCTAGGCCACTGGCCACGCAGCCTTTGCAATCTTCTTGAATAAAGAGTCTGCCATTCAATGGTAGACTGTGTGTAGACGTTACTATTTTCTCGTGAAGGAAAGGAAATAGTAGGTATCTGCACGCAGACTATTCAATGACTTCAGTTGGGTGGAGAATGTTTGGTTCTAAAGATCCACAAAACATTACAATGGGGGTTTGATACATTTAATCAAAAAGGCTTGTAAATGTGCACCAGAAACGACTGAATGAAGTCCCGTTAGTCAAGCTTAGCACTCAAGTAGAGTTTGCTATGTATACCTTACATTTGGGTATTGTCCTTATGTACTTCAGTGAGGCTGCTCGATTCTGAGCAACACATTCTGAGCCACGTCAACAAGCAAACTTTTACCGTATTTGACGTGCGCAAGGCGTATATTTACAGCAACACCACTACTTCGGATCTTCATTTCTGTCACAAATTTATAGAGCGTAGACAACTTTGGAGGTGATTATCGATGCGAAGAATATTTCGGAAGAAAACTCTTTCTCGCTTGCTTTTCTGACCTCATTCGTAATTAATTCAACTCAAACCTGATCATGAAGTGAAAAACGGGCGACAAATCTTCCCGCCTTTTCATACCATGATTCCTTCATGATCAAAATGAAACGTCAACAACATTCAGGGAATTGGAGAATTTTTAAATAAAACAATTATTCCATTCTCCCCCGTTGGATAAAAGTGTTTACAAAAAACACGGCGCTACGCGCCTCATTTTGTCCAACGTGGGCTCGTGGAATAATATTTAATTATTCCTCTATGCCAATTAACACTGAAAACGACGAGCGGAGTCTGGTGGCATGGTGCACTTCAGCTGAGGATAGAAAAGCTGACACAAAGGAAAGCTAAACAAGTCGTTTCATAAATTCTGCTTTGTTATATTCTTTATCTTCAGCGTTGGGAGACAAAAAGGACCTTAACGGAAATGAAAGGAACCAGTACGCACAACATTTGATCCATATCAGAGGTCCTGTTGTCATTGGGGATCACGGAACTATCAAGACTGTCCCAGCGTCTCTTGATGGAGGTATGCCCTAAGTCTTAACTCTTTCAAACCTTAAGTTCAATAAAAAAGAAGTAAAAAAGAATGAACCGTCCGTATCAGTGTAATGGCAATTATGTTGAATTCAAAACTAGTAACGTGGTGAATGTTTTATCACCTCAGTAGGAGTAAACAATGGGCCTACTTCTATGTAAGGTAATAGTCAAGTTCTTTAACTATGTTCTTTGTTAGTAGACACAACTGAAACCGTTCACTAATTTCCAAAGCATTAAAAATTCTAATAACGGAGGCTTTAGACAAACAATTAAGAATGAAAATAAGCGATAAATTTTTAAATGACGTTTCGATGACTCATTTTCAAATTTACTATTCTTAAGATATGTCGTGGGAAAATTGAACGCTTAATTTACGAAATGCTCTTTATTCAAGAAATGAAACCTTAACTGAACAATCTATCTAACGTAATCAAAGCAAAACTATTTAGTACTTTTAAGTTAATTAAAATTAACTCTCTCGATCTACATTCCACTTTCTTTTTGTAGAGTCCTTAATCACATACAACGAGACTTTCACACGTATTCTTAGAATACAAAGAACTCATAAGAATCTGGCCTGTAGTTCACGAATTTGGAAATAATGAACGAGTCATTATCATTGCCAAAATTGTTATCGCTGATTTTTATTATTAAAAAAACTATCGATTTTCTTAATCAAGGCAATAATAGCAGCAACTACCCAGGAACGGAAGCTTCTCCATCTGACAGGAACAGGGAGCCAGAGGCGCAAATAAGCCAATATTCCATAGATGCATCTTCGCGACTAAATTTAGTTTACGCCAAGACCTCTCCGGGCAGTTATTGTCATCACAATTATTATCAAGAAACAAACATGGGAGACTGGAACCCTAAGCCAATCATCGGTGTTCCTATCCAGAGAGGTAAATTCAAAGGCATCACTAAAAATGTTTCAAACCATTGATATATATATTGAAGCTCATGTGCCAATGTTGGAATGTTTAATCATACGCAATAAATATTGCTGAATACTCACGCGATCGCTGACAAAATCACCTTACATTTTTGCAAATTTCAAGTTGCATTCTGCATTCGCCATTGAGTCTCTGAGTTCCATATTATCCAAAAGTGTGGTTCATTCCACTACAGTTGGTTTCTTTACAAAATATAAACGAGATGGTTCTACACTGTTTAACGATCGATATGCAAAGCATATCAAAAAGCTAAGTTCATCATGTTTGCTTCACAGATGCCTTCCTATAGGAAATTCGAGCATTGCGGTTTTTATTTATAGTTAGTGTATTACAGTCAGCGCGGATAAAACTTCAAGTGGAACCTTTCATTAATGTTCGCAGGAGAAATTAATTTTGAATGGCCAGTCGAGTTGTTTCTCGAGAATCCAGAGAAATTCATTCGAGAGATGGACACGTGTGCTGGGTCATTGAGGGAGGAGAAAGAACAGTTCATACTACGAGGTATCTTGCCATACCTGGAGCAAGTCATGTGGGGCAAATCCTCTGCTAATAACATTGATACCTACAAAATCCTTGCCCAAGCAAGCTGCAGCCGAAGTAGTTCTGATGTTGTAAAACATTCCCTACATCATCTCCAGCATCTACTATACAGAGATAGCCTCGACTGCTCTAAGCAAAGTTTGCTGGGTGTAGAAAAAATCATACGATCATCTATCGCTTCCCCAGATGCAGTGTTCAGGGAGGAGGCAGATCCAATGCGTCTACTAAGACTATCTGTGTACGGCTGCATTCTGTCCGAGTTAATAATTCACCAGGTTCAGTCAGGATTCTCTATGATAGACTTACAGAACAATCTAAAAAAGCTCGAGGAACTGAAGGTGTATTTCAATCAGATCAACCTGAAAAAGAAGGACATTTTGAGATATTCGATAGAATTTATTCAGGAAGCAATTTCCTATCTTTTGAAGTCACCAGAGAAGACGCTGAAAACACATCTGGGACGCCACCTAGGTGAATGCAAGGCGCTATGTGCAAATACGCAGATTGAAGAAAAGACGTCGTTATTTCAAAGGTTGAAGACATCCAAAGTGAAATGGTTTGATTTGCACTGTATTCTATATTATCTGCATGGACAGGTAGGGGCCATTTCTCGGAGAATATATGTATTTCTATGCTTCTATTAGCCGAGAATAATTTTTGGGAATGATTTTTTTTTTTGCCTGCTTCGATTGATCACCGCGTTTTCATAGTATGCATGGCACCATATATCACTGGTGTGAGTCGCGGATCAAGACTGAGCAAACGATTTTATTTGTAAGAAACTACTACTAACACTAAACACTACTAACGCTTAGATGAAATCTGAAAGAAAAAAATATAGGGCAATGCCAACGACCAAAAGGAGGTCCGCTCGGCTACATGCTAAATTTGTCAAATCATCAAGTGGCATGCTGATTTTTGCACTCTGGGCTTCTAATTTTCACAGCTTTATTGACTTAATTGATGTCAGAGATGGCATCGTATCGTGGAACTGCTTTTTAAATATTTGTATTTCTTATCATATAGTGGCACCCACAAAACGTTCTAGCATCTCAATACATTACTTTTTTTATTTTTATTTTAATAATCAGGTGCATACTGAACGTCCCACTCCGCAGATGCACAAGGAGCGAAAGGCCATGATTCTTCTCAGACGTGTGGTGGAAGCTTCTCTTGATGGCGGAGGCGGAAATGACTGGAAGTTCTGTCTCCTAACAGGATCTCTACTGTCGGAGATCTCAATGAACAACGTCACCAAAGGTAATTATTGTGCAATCTGAAAAGAGGCCATGAAGAAAGTGTTAAGGTAGTGTTTGACTCAGTTTCACGGTATAGTTTTCCATAGAAGTAAGATCAACAACCCCAAGTCGGTACTCATGCGAAAAAAGGTTAACATTTCCCTTAAGTGACAGAATGTCTCTGTTATATAAAATATTCAAACCAAGAAATACAACTGTTATTTCTTACACTGCTTGCGTAGTTAGTATAAATATAGGCTAAGCCCCGTGTAGAGCCCATGTACCTGATTTAGAAGCTCGCTTTCTTTCATTTGTTTTCTTATAAAGAATTGAGGATCGAAGCCGGTTCCTGTTTAGTGAATCTCCTGAAGAATGACAAAGCACAGAAGAGGCCAGAATGTAGAGCGATCCTTGACCGTCTTTCTAAACGGGTGCTGTTCTGTCAAGACAGTCTCATTAAGAAGCTTTTGGTTCCTCATCTACTCAACAACCAAAATGCACAGTACACACTTCCAGCAGAACTCCACATCGAGCACCTTACTTCCTGCTACAGGACTCAAACACTGGAAGTTAACAGCATCATAGCCAGTGAGGCGGGGCGCGAAGAACCGAGCTGTTTTGTCAACAGAGGTATGTTGAAGGGACAAAAAGCGGCCGTAAAGATTTTGGCTGTCACAAAGCAAGTTATCCTAGAGGAAAACACCACAGTGCAGTCGGAGGCGAAGAAACGGCTAATTGCAGAAGCCTACAACTTATGTCAATTAAACAGCCTAAATCAGCATCCAAACATTCCGGTCCTTCTCGCCTATAACACAACCACCGTACCATACCATATCATCACACAGTATGAGAAATACGGTAATCTGCTTCAGCTTGTTCGAACGTCTCGAGAAGTCCAGGCTTTGCCATCGTCCGTTATTTACAAAATGTTTATCGGCATAATTGAGGGCCTTTTATACTTACACCAAAAGCTGCACTTGGTTCACCGGGCCGTCATGGCGGAAAACATTCTAGTCGGAGATGGTTATACATCCAAGCTGAGTGGCCTGCACTCCTTAGAAATGCTACAAAACAGACATTATGGCGACGGTAAGATAAACTGTAACGAAAATAATCACATGTAGTTCATTTTCGTGTAATTTCTTTTGAGTTCCATGCTCATAGTAAACATATGTGGTCAACCTTAATTTTTTTAGCTATCGTTCTATTATTGCTCTCCAGATATAGACCTGTGTGACCTTATGTATCATGTCATGAGACCACTATATAAAAACCTACTAAACAGATTGCATTTTCGTAGCGAAAAAGGCATTACCAACAGCTAAAGTGCTAGTGCGTTTCAGTTCACAATGTGACACATAGCTTTGTTGGAATCCGCATAGTATAAGACAAAGAGAAAAATTGTTACGCGGGAGCTCTTATCGAAGTTCTCAAAGTTGTTAAATCTGTAATATAGTTGAAGTTGATGCCTAAATCATGTAGTTACCGAGTTGTCATGCATCCTTCAGTAGGCAGTTCATCTAAGTGCACTGTGAAAAACGTCTCTACATGGGCAGCAAATAACTATAGATGCAAACGTTCGTCTTCTTTTCACAGCCCAAGATAATCGCTCACCAGAATATGATTACGCCATCCTCGATGACGATTTACCGCAATGTATAAGCGAAAATGATGAAGGCCTGCCAGTAAGATGGAAAGCGCCGGAATGTCTACGGCAAAACTTGTATTCCACTGCCTCTGATGTCTGGGCATTTGCTATGCTTATGTACGAAGTACTCACTCTTGGATGCTGCCCGCACAGACACATCCGAGAGGATAGTGAGGTCGCCAATTATGTAAGAACTGAACAAAGTGTTTTGTATTGATTATAACCGTAAATGTATTTTTAAAGTTAAAAGTCGACATTCAGTTTTCGGTTCCCATAGATGAGGTTTGTTAACTCTGCAGTGAGTTAGCCCAGTCCCCGAGCTATGGCTGTTTCATCTTGTGCTGGGGCAGTGCATCCAAACGTTGAGGGAATTTGGGAACTGATATTTCAAGCTCTAAGTCTAAGCGTCCAACGAAAGGCTGATGCTAGATGTATAAGTTCAATCCAATTATTCTGTCTTCAGCATAGAATAGTGTTATCTTTCTATTGGAAAAGAGGGAAAATTTATTTGTCTCTTGGTCGGAGTCGGGCATCATCTCCGCCAATGGAAGTCTTGACAATATGAAATGGCTGAAAGAAATCTCCCGTTCTTTCTAAACCCTGAAAGAAAATTGCGTTTCATTAAGGTTTTTCAGGAAGTCAATGAAGAGTACCTACCTCAAGAGCCATCAATTGATGATGATGAATACAAGTTGATGAAGCAGTGCTTGAAAAAGCGAAGAAATGAAAGGATCAGATTACTCGACCTTAAAGAAGAACTCAAGGAAATGCGGCTAAAGATGAAATCAGGTGCAACGACAAATAATTAGCGGAATAGAACCATTTTCCTCCAAATTCGCTAATCGTTTTTTTCAGATTTTTAGCTGATTATTACAGCAAAGTTAACTAGGCTCTCGAAGGACGAACTTCATTAATGATCACCGTTAATATGAGGTTATATTAATTTGTTTCACCGTCTTGGTAAATTTGGGAACTGCCTTTTCGAAAGTTAGGCTTCCGTGTGCGATAAAAGACTAAACAAGCCACGCCGGTCTACTTTTAGCTACTCTGGTTTTGTTTTTTCGACCCAGAATGGAACGTGCTTTTAAGACGATTAGCTTTTCTCCCTATAAGCTTGAGAAGAGTGAAGAAGTGAATGTGTCAGAAAGTCTAGTCGTTCAGTCAGTGAACGTGGATTGGGGTTGGTGATTTGGGTGATTGTGGGACGAGCTCAACGGGCCATTGTGGTGCAGGGATCAGGAGAGGGATGTGGGTGAATTTAAGTGCCGGAATAAAATGTAGCAAGATCCAATCGCGAAACGGACAAAACATATCAACAAACGAATCCAAAAAACAATCGCTGACTTTGTTCCTTTCTTTTTCCAGGGGAAGAAAAGCTACGGCGTAACCCACCACACTTAGAGCTTGACATTGTCAGTGTAAGTTTGCTGTTTAGACTTATGTCATAATTTACACTGTTGATTGGTTACTTTGACAACTAGCTCAATTAATCAACTTTCCAGTGGACGCGTGAAATGTAGGAGTTCGAAAAAGCAACGCTGTCTTTTATCAGAACCGCTGACCGTATGCGTGTTTATTACTTAAAGTTGTATAGATTAGTAGTATATGCTTTTATAGTAACTTAAATTTACATAATTTTGTGCTGATTTGCTCATTTTCTTTTATGCTTCCATCTGTTAATTTCGTGTTTGTCTTTGCTTTATTTGTAAATAAGGCTTGCAGCAGCCCTCTCCAACGCTTTGTTGTTTTGGCTAATGGGGGTTTATTCAAATTTAACTTTTCACTTGTAAATGTATAGGGATATTTTTTGGGGGAGGGCTCCCATACAAAAAGCGACGGGTGCTCGTCGGAAATTTTCAAAAGAATCTCCAAGAGGTACCAAGATCCTGTTTTGTGGGCATGGCCTGAAATATTTTTCAACCCTAAGAGCTACAAATTCTAAATCATCACCTTATCCCCGGTCATATTTTGTCGGCCTAATACCCTAAAAGGCACCGCAAAAGCTCCCGTTGTGGACCTTTTAAGGCTGAACATCCTAAGAGGTACCAACACCGCTTTTAAACCCCTAAAAAGTAGGAAGAGCAACACCGTCCTTTTTATATGGGATTTCCTCCCCCCTCCCACTAGGACTGTACTAGGCAACACCTCCACCTCATTTTAGCTATTATCGTCCTCTTCTTATAGGTATCTCAACAACCACAGGAACTGGATGATATGTACGAGTTCGTTTCTCAAGACAATGTTTCAGGTACCATGAATAGTTATCTTTTTAATTATGTGTCAATGTGTCAATTATTGTATTACCCGTTTTGTTGGAGTTTGAATGTGAATAGTGTCATTATATATATGACTGGATTTATGAAAACCGTGTCAATGCGGAAAAAGATAGAGAGAGAGGCACAAGAAAAGGAAGACAAGAGAGTGGTGGAAAAAAAGACTGACATTCCTTTTGATTTTATATCGTCTACTTCGAAATAATCCCTGGCGAGAAAAAAACCCTTGAGCAGGACGCGCTTTCTTTAACACTGTTTCCATAAATCCAGACATATACACATTTGTACGCATGTTAAATGGCAAGGACCTCCCGTTGCTTTTTTTTTCTCGATTGTGGAAATGCTATCATTTCGAAAGGGGAAAACTTTCATATCAAAGCCTAAGTTTCCGCTCTTTGTTTCTCAACAACACGTAACACAGTATATGATATATAAATGGTGTTTCTAGATTTTGAGCATTCCTTGGGGTACATGTTCTTAACTAGTAAAATGAGATGTACTCTCCGAATATGATGTGGTCACCACTGACGACAGTTTCGATACAGTTTTAAGACGAACGACCGATTATGTTACCGTTACACTGCATTCCATTTCATGTTATTCATGTATGCAATCTATTCAGAGTACACCGATGTTGACAGATCACAGACGATCTACGAAGAGTATGAGGATACGGTAGGCCAGCTGACGATAAAGTTAAGAAAGGATCTGCCAATCTTTCCCAATTAATTATGGGATAATACAGTCTTTGCATCTTTCTCCTACTACTTTTTATTCATTTTTACAACAACAAGGCAAAAATAGAAAAGAATGAAAGAAAAACACAATCTTTGCGTTTTAATTGATAATTCACAATCACTGACAAATTCGGCGTAGGCTTTTTGCACTGTTAACCATTTGAATTTTGAATGTCAGGAATGTACATAGAGTTCGTAAAAGACGAGTTTTGAATAGTGAAAAGTGTTACATGGCATAATCTCAAAAGCTCTTTGTAATTCAGTGGACTAGTTTGGTTGAATTGCTTGAACTCGCAACAATACGCAATCATTATCAAAATCTCGCTCCAGTGAATGGAAAAAAAAATGCTTTTCTAGCAAAGTTTGGGGAAATTATGCCAAAAACAAATTCAACGGTTAAGAAAAGAGCGTTTTGGCCGCAAAAGTTAGCATCGAAGGGGTTAAATTAAATTCATTCTTTCGTGTGATGACCACTAAATAATATATCAGTTAATCCCCGCAGAATGTTTACGACAAAAACATGAAAAGTTCCATCTTTTTTTTGGTCAATTAGGAGGAATCTGTGATGAAAGAGAGGATCACTGGTGGGGACAAACAGCATTTGAGAAGACTTTTCTCGCTTCGCAATGATTATCTCCTACCTATCCATAGGATGTTTAATTTGGATTCTCACAGTCCAGATGTTGACATTGTGAGTAACGCCCAAGGAAAAAAACAAATGCAAATGTGGCAAGGGACCGCAAACGAAAATGCTACTAGTATACACAGGATCTGTAAGAGATCTGAAATAGAATAACAGTTAAACAAGACTGACTGATAGAGTCCAAAATGAAAGACAACTATGACCGTGGACAGTGCCTCCAGCATTATAGATTTCTGACTGAGTATATTAAAAGACCTACGGAAGCGCCCTTCGTAGCCCCCATACGAGCCAAGTGGCCCATCAGGCCGGAGCTCATTCCGGTTACTGTAGAGTTAAGCGACTAGGAGTATTTATTCTTCCCCTGGATGGGATCGGCTAGGGTCCCCCCCGGTCGCATTAAACACCTGGGTGGGGAGAGGCACTGTGAGAGTAAAGTGTCTTACCCAAAAAGACTTCACAGTGTCCCCGGCCAGGACTCGCTCGCGCTTGTATGGCATTTTGGCCTGATGTTATAATTTAAGAAGTTGCACTTTGAGATGTGCACTTCTAGAATCGTAGATTTCTGTCTGAGTATATGAGCAAACTTCCGGAAGCGCGCTTCTTAGCCTTGAATTGACCAGTGCATATTTCTTTTAATTCTCTGACGACAGCACTCGCCAAGAACCAGCTTTGGGAACTTGAAAGAGTATGTTCTTGACCGACGTTGTGAGAAGGACGATATAATCACATACTTATGTCAGGTGGCGTCTGCTCTACACTACCTTCATGTCAACCACATTGTACATGGGGACCTCCGCCCAGAACATGTATTTGTAGCTGGACCACACAAGGTTTAGTAGATACAAATCAGTATTAATATCGATTGTAGTGACATTCTAATGTAATATTAGTACGATTTAATAAGAGCAGGAGTTCGAATTTTGCCAGATCCGTCTGCACTGTACTAGTGTAATTTATGATTTACACACATGAACAGTATGGTGTGTTTATTCAATTTACAATTCCTTGTCTATTGAATAGCCTTAAACCTTACGGATAACTAGTTACATCGTAAAATTCACTTCGTAGGTGCTCCATCCTTATCTTTAAGAACAGAGTGTAATTCTATAGCTACTTGCACCCCTAATGCAAATGCTACAATCTGATTTGCTGAGCTAGCATTGAGCAAGCATTAATTTCCTGTTTGACTTACGTTGAATATAGGATTTTTGTATTAGACGTGGTATTTTAAATTGCCATTGGAAAAACATATAAATGAAAATAAACGACAACCTTAGATCAGAGAGACGATTACATTCGAATAATAATTTGTTCGAACATTATGGTTCTGTACAGGTCCAGGTTGGCTTCCTGGGTCGCTCCAAGCCTCTTTCTATGAGTGCTTATGAAGTAACCAGTACTTCATGCGTGGTTGAGGCTGCCCTGCTACCTGATTCTACTCGCTGGTAAGCAATATTTGTAACTCCTTTCCTACCAACCCTGGTACGCACCAGGAAGCGGTCAAAATGCAATTTAACTTTTTTTTGAGCTGTCCCCAAAATGTTTATATTTCAACTACTGATTATGTCCTTTTACTTAAGGACATATACGTAGGTTTATACCTTTAAATGTTTAATTGTACGCATATCTTCTTGGTAACGAGTTGAATTTCAACTCGACCAATCAGAGTAATGTTTTCGTATTTACTTTTGTGGCATGCATTCAAACGTTAAAACTTGGTGTACACGACTTTTGAAACTGAAATTACTGGAATAACTGGATTACGAGAGACAAAGAAATTGTTATGAAACAGGTCAGACTGTCGTTATATTAGGCTAAAACCAAGGACAAACTATTTTAAATAGGCGTGGTCTAACTCCTAGCCACTGTCAAGAAAAGTAGACGGAAACTGAATGATTCCGCACGCGAGAGACATTAAACGAGCGCAAAAAGCTTAGCTCAAGGGAACCATCTGTGTTTGGATGAGTTTTAAGTTTGTTGAACAAGTGAACTGCCAAAAAGATGTTTGATCGATGTATAAGAACTTAAAACTCCCTTCAACTGTTTTCAGGATTTTGACACAGCTGTATTGACAAAGCTTAATTGGTAAAAATAAGCTCATGTTAAAACAGTGTTAAAATTGAATGACACCTGCATATTTACTTAGCTTTATACTCTGAATGGGTAGGTGTGCTCCGGAAGTGATCTTAGAGAATCACTATTCTCATGCAAGCGATGTGTGGGCTTTTGGAATCTTAGCATGGGAATTGTACACTTCCTTCGCTGTTGGTCAAAGTGATATACGTGCTTCTTTGCCCTACCACAGTATAGGCTCCGATAAGGTAAATATGTCACATGCAAAGCTTACTCATGAATGGAAGTATTTACAATTAGGTACGTAGTCATATAAGGATTGAATGATCGATCGATCAATAAACTTTCATTTTCCGCTTTCTTTCTCTAAATCAACTTATTCGTCTTGTTTCCTCGTTTCCCTGTGGGGAAAAGGGCCAGATTTATAACAACGATAGATCTCATTCAACAGTGAAAATGAGCGGACCGACCTCAGCACCAGCAATAATTTGGTTTTAATAGGGTGTCTGAATAACGTTTATACATCTCTTCATCGTCATTTGGAACTTCAAACTGTAATACAGACACATTTCCTCCAAGCCTGATACATTCTTTAGTAATGTCAGGAAATAACAAACAAATCAGATCGTATATTTATACGCCTTTAACGCAGCTGCAACAGAATTGCACGTGGATATAAGGCGTCTACGTCAGCGTGGTTGTAATCATGCACTGCTATATTGCTTTCCCAGTCAACCTTGTGTAACCATATGAAAAACGAAGGACCACTTACCCAACCTGACGGCTGTCCTGATTGGGTGTACATCATGATGCATCAGTGCTGGACATACGACCCAAAACAGAGACCACCAATTATTGCTATATTAGATTGCCTTTCAAGCAGGTACACTGTATGATATATACAATGTAGAATAGGGAACATCATCGAACTTGCTGAAAAAGGATATTCCCAACCACTTTAAATTTTTAGATTTTGGTCCATCAGATCTGCATCCTGTAATGATTCTAAGCTGGATTTGAGAATTTTGACTAAGATCAATATTCGTTTGATCCTTTTGACAAATAAATGTTTGAAATACTATGTTCTTTCCCAAATTTCAGTCTTAAGTATAACATAGTTTCTTTGACATGCTTTCTTTACTCATAAAGGTCTTAAGTCTATTATTTCTTTCGTACTCATTTGGCGAAAGTCAGAAACATTCTTTTTGGCGCAGTTTAGGCATTACGTTATGAATCGATCTTTAACTGGCAAATGGGTACTATGTTCATACTTTCTACGTCTTTTAAGGGAACCGATGCAGTCGTGGATGATGAAGTTATGGTTAAACAATCATGATGAAAGCGAGTGGCCAGATTTGCCAATCTATCAGCCCGAGGGTGCATGCCATGTGACACGGGCAGAAGAACACCCCTCCAAAGACGTTATCGAAAAAATGTGCTCGGAAAGCTTTTTTACCCACCACAAGTACTTGTACGTCGAGAGCATTCAAAGAAGTGTGGCAGGTACGGTAGATGAAGACCAATACGAATTCCGCGAATCCCCTGATATCTCTCAGTCATTACACCAAGGATCCTCTGTGTTCCATCAGTCACCACGAGAATCTTTGGCAAGTCTCGGCCTTTCTCGTGACCGCAGCTCTAAATTTGGCCAGGAACAACAAACGGTTGCACAAGGAGGTGAGACCATCGAGAGCCGTGATTACTACTATTCTTATCCAGCAGTTGAAGAAATGTTTGGTGAAGAACGTGGCTGTTCTATGTCTCAGCCTGAAGATGCCATTTCAGATCACGAACAATACGAACTGTGCGAATCCCCTCATATCTCTCAGTCTTCCCGAGGATCTTCTGTTAATGACATATCTGAAAACAATGAAGGAGGAGTTGACGTTGAAGATGGCCCGAAACACGATCTGCGTTTGGAGAATAACACAGTGTACAAGGAGCTTGATAAAACCAACCAGGGCTACATGCCACTTTCGATAGAGCAGAGGACTGGAGAACAACCATGTTTTATCACTTCAGATACTAAAAAATTAAGTACACCTTTGCCCCAGTACGGCGGTAATGATTCCTCTGTTGGGTGCTACAGTTGTGTCGACCTTCTTGTGCAAGGCCCTCATCAAGGACAAGAAGACGAACGTTTCTTTTCTGGACCTATAAATTCCACTGAAATCTTCCAGAACATGGAATGCAAACTGAAATACGACTCAAATGAGGACATGGCCATTCAAAAGTTGTTAAAGGATGCAGAGTTTCTTTACCAGGACATTGTACAAGGAAGGAAAAAAAGTGTCAGAAAGTAGAATCGAACACTGTCGGGAGTGACGAAGATTTTTACATGCACCGAAACCAAAGCTTAGAACCAAAGCAAGTGCCACAGAATGCTGAGCGTCGGAAAAGTAAGAAGGTGTACGGACAGAAACAAAAGTGGCTTATATGAGCATGCTATAATAATCTATCTAAACTGGGTAGTCTTCGTACATACAGGCCATGCATGCATGAAGTAGGTTTAACTAATTCAGGTAATATCAGTAGCGGATCCAG